ATAAAATAATTAAAACAGACCATCTACTCAAATATGATTATCCATTTAAAATAATGTTTAAACAAATAAATTAAAAAAATATATGTATGTGTGTGTTTGTATCTATGTGTGTGTTTGTATCTGTGTGTGTTTGCTCGCGCGTGCTTTTTAAAAATTCTCTCTGATTTCTTTTTGGGGGATTTTCTCAGTAAATCTATGAGTTTTATGACTGAATTTTCTGCTACACTAAAAATAATGCCTTTTCGGGATTTCTTTAATGTCTTCTTTCATTATCCAACCTTGTCCTTTTCTCCCCCTCCAACTCTCTTCAAAGTCTTCTTCTTCACTTCTTTGTTTTTCTCCCTGCTTTTTCCCATACGACCTGCTTTCCTTTTCTTTTGCGTCTGTTCGCTCTCTCCCTCTCTCTCTCACTACTATATCTCCTCCCCCTCCTCCTTTAATTCTTTCTCGTTTCTTACCTTCTTTTCAGAATCCTCATTTGTCTACTCTCTATCTCTCCATCCCGTCGCCTCTTATCACCTCCTCCCTTTATCCTACTTATTTATTTCTCTTTACCCCTCTCTATCCTTCATTATTTTCTTTTCGTTTTTCTCTTTTCCCCCAATATTTCGTTTCTTTACCTTTCCTCACCCACGTCTTTCTCCCACTCTCTCTTATTCTGAGCGATATTCATAAAAAATATAGAACATAAAGAAGACATTTTGTTTTCTCTTTTCGGTCGAAAAGTTGTTAATACAAACATAAACTAACATCGTCCCCTCCAGTCGGAGTTCCCTAACCAACGGCCAGATATTTGTAATGTTTATTTTTTTCAGTCGGCTTATTTAGGTCGACCCTCTAAATCACAGAATGTTGGCTAGGAAGAAAGAAGGTGAGAGTGAATATTGTAATATAAAGCAACATTTTTAAAAATCCATTTGCAATTATGTACATATATAGGTACCTCAAAAGAAAGCATTACCGAAAATTTAAAATGCATTTTTTTAAAATAAAAATCTTCCTTCAAGCATTTATTTGAGTTTTAATTCCAAGCTAATATATTAATTTTAATATTTTCAATTAGCAAATGCGTTGCTGTATTTTAAATCGATTGGAATCGTTTTTCTGATCATCATTAATTGACAAAATCGTCCATATTGACAAATCTGTTAACATAAGATAATTCGCATTATTAAAAATCTTTCAAAAATAAAATATACTTTTCTGAAACGTTATTTGAAAAAAATAGCTAATTTAAAGATTAATTATTCTGGTTTGGAGCAAATTTTATGCACCTTTCAAAACATCGCAGGACAGTATCTTTAACATGGCAGTGGGTGTTTTATACGTGTTGAATAATGCATTGACAATCTGTTGTTTGGAAAATTTAAGTAAGGAGATAGTGGAAATAAAATTACATGGCGAATGTCACGTAAAACGCATTTTTTTGTATAATTTTTAAACTACCCAGTAATGTTAAAAAATTCAAAATATTTTAAGCATATGTCTTATTTACAAAGACACTTGTTGAGAAAATGTTAAAAAATTACCAATAAGTTTTAAATTTACCGCTCTTATTTTCTGATAATGTCGTGTATACAGTATGTGCATCCGTATTTACAAAAATCGATATGTTTATACACACACAACATGAATTCAAAATTCTTTTTTAAATATTGGGGTCGTTGAATTGTAGCACGCTTTTTTATTTAGTTAGTAAATATATTTTTAATTTAATACCGATATCACATGTCCGCTAAAAATTAATCCTGAATTTTAAAAGATTTAAAATTTACAAATTATTCCAATTAACATTTTTAGAAAATGAAAACAATTCTTTCAAAAACATTACTTAAGCCAGTAGTGTCTATAGTATAGTTTATTCATAAAAGCAATCAAAAGCTTTTGTAATTATATAATATCTTAGTTTTATTGCATTTTTATTTTACTATATGATTCAGAGCAGATATTTTGTAACTGAGGTTGATGTTTGACCAAAAAATTTGATGATTGAAATTCTCCTAGGACTTGTCCTTATAACTAATATAAAATTAAGCGATGCAAAAAAAAAAAAAAAGAATTTATTGAAATTTCCTAAAATTAAATAACGTGAGTTAACAAATATAAGAAAATATTTTTACCAAGATTTTCTAAAAGATAAAGTTTAAAAAATAATTTAATTTATTTGTAAACGAGTCCTGAACGTTTCATTAAAATCTGACAATTATCTGATTTTTGAAAGAATTTTTAAATTAATGTTTTTCACCGCAAAAAGACGGTTAAATTTCCAAGGCTAATTTATGACCCTCCCCGACCCACTGACACCAGAGAAACCAGGTTTTAGCCAAAATTTCGAAGGTTCTAAAGATTGAAAGAAATAATTTTTACATAAAAAAATCATTTGGTTTTTCCTCTTAATAATAACACCAAAACTTTCACGGTAAGGGTTTGTTTTTATTGTTTTGGGTATTTTTTCACCATGTATGCTCATTTTTTAGATAATCTTTGGCAGTACACACACACACACACACACACACACACACACACAAATACATACATATATACACATATTTTTCTAACAAGATTTCTCGAATAATCAGGCCGGTAGATGGAAATATATAAATATACTGTTTAATAAATAAATTTAAATTTCCATTTAAAAAAATAACGTTTAAAGAAATAAATTAAAAATCTATCGTATTTAATTCATTTCCTAAAAATTGTCTTTCTTTTCGCTAAGATACAAAACAGAGCCGATATGTATATTTCGAGAATCGGGAATATATGTTCAAATGCACCATTCCGGCTTTGTTTGCTCAGGAGGTTCTACGTGGCCGAGTTGGCCTAGGGCACTTCAGATCTAATGATGGTTTCCCCGATGGGACTCAGGTTCAAATCCTGCCGTACGGCGCAT